AAGCCAATCTTTAGGTGGTGTTTGTCCGCTTAATGGTGTGATCATAGTCCAGGTGGAATTGTCATTGTGGAGCTCCATCATCTTTTTGGAGACTCCAGAGATTGCTGTTAGGAAAGTTTATCATTCACTCTAGAAAACTTAAACATCATTAATGTCAAAAGAGAAAGTTTAACTTTTAAGATATTAATATACCTGAAGGAAAGTTTCAAAAAGTCAAAATAAATTTGAGGGTTAAAAGATCTGTGACAATAATAGTCCCTTGATTTTGGTTTTCTTCTGTGCCATACCAGGTGACTCTTCTGATATGAAACAGAGACTCTGAATTTTCTTGAACAATATGCGTGGGTTTAGCGAAGGAGAGAGCCACACTCCAACTCTAAACCCAGTTTTAATTTTTAATTGAACCGGGACTACAAAAAGAACATTTGCATTATGTATCTGTAGAGAACAGCAGAAACAAACATTTGGGAAGATTTATGAAATTTTATCCTGTTGGAAATGTGATATACCAATATGTTGTTGGTTGTTTTTTGGCTCTTTTATGGAGCCCACCACCCAGCTCCCAAGTAAATCACTTGAAAGCTTATTCTTAATTATTAATGCCTGGCTTTAGCTCAGCTTAGTTTCTAGCCAGGTTTTCTTAGCTTAACTTATCCAGTCTACCTTTTGCCTCTGGGCTTTTCCTGTTCTATTACTTCTGTAAATCTTACTCTTACTCTGTGGCTTGCTGTGTAGCTGGGTGGCTAGCCTCTGATGTCCTCCTCCTTCTCTGGCTCCTAGATGCCTCCTCCCAGATTCCTCCCTCTATATATTCTCTCTGCCTGCCAGCCCTGCCTATCCTTTCTCCTACCTTGTTATTGGCTGTTCAGCTTTTTATTAGACCATCAGGTGTTTTAGACAGGAACAGTAACACAGCTTCACAGAGTTAAACAAATGTGGCATAAACAAAAGTAAACACCTTAAAATAATATTCTACAACACCAATAGGCCAATTTATTCTTTTTCTTGGGACATTTTCTCTGGATGATTCATCCGTTTTCTTCAGATGACTCCTTTGTTCAGATTCCTTAGCTGGATGCCTTCATTCTCCTGGAAAGAAAAAAAAACATAACCCTGTCCCAAGGGTAACTTTGGGGAGTTTCCCTTTTGGCAAGTTATATCTGATAAAATGATAAGCATTTGTGAGTCTTATAAGTTAGTTTTCTAATCTGTTCATCTATGGGTGCTGATCTTGCCTTTAAAGTCCTAATTACCCTTTTGCATTGTGAATTAGCATTTTCAAAAGCCAAAAAGATTATTATTTATCTAGCTTCTGAATTTGGTATCATTCTATTTACAGCTGAAGTTAATCTTTGTAAAAAAAATAAGTGAAGATTTCTTTTGGGCCCTGTATAACTTTAATAAATAACTCACTTCTTTCTGATTTCTTCAGTTCTGTCCTAAGCATTCAAAGCTGCTGCACAGCATAGAGCCAGAGTGTGGTCATCATATAGAGACTGTCTTTGTACATCAACATAATCGCCTTCTCCAAGAAGTTCATCTTGGGAAATTTCAATACCTCTAGCCCTACTTTGTTGTTCAGTGGTCCTAGCCTCATCTTTCCACCAGGTCCTCCACTACAATTGAGGACCAGGCTCCAATACTGGTGTAACCAAGTCTTTCTAGTCTTGTGGGACAATTCTGTTACTAGTTGACCATGAATTTAACATCTGCTTCACAAAAGATAATATGCATGCTAAATGAGACTATCACTTCCTTATGTCTCCTCAAATCTAAAATTTTCGCAGGAGTTCAGTCAGCTCTTACACAGCCTTGGGGATACCTGTCATTTGGCAGTTGTTCCCATAAGGTGACTGGATAAATTAAGGTTGTTTGAAAACCTTGGGCTGTGCCTGTCTAATTTTAAAGTGTAATGGTGAGATTGTGTTTTCTTTAAATTCCCCAGTCTGTGTCTGAGTATCTCTATTATCTGTTTTAGTAAGTTTTTCTAAGGTTTGCATATTATCAGTCACCTGTTTTGCTCTCTTCAGCAGTAAATATTTCTAGAGCTTTTGTCTTAGCAGTTCGGCAGCAGATGATTCACTATCCTAATTAGTCTTAACAATAAAAACCCAGAGTCAGATATCGAGGGTGAAAGCTGAAAGATCAGAGAAGCAGAGCAGCAGCCACTAGAAACTTTTTACCTCTACAAATCCTTAGACCAAATGGGGCTTGAGATCCTGTCTCCACCAGCCTTATATTCCTGCATCCACCTCCCTAGTGCTGGTTTAAAGTTGCATGCTACCACTGCCTGGCCTGTATGGTTAACTAGTGACTAGCTCTACCCTCTGATCTCCAGGCAAGCTTTATTTGTCAGAACACAAACAAAATATACAACAGAAATGCAAATGACCAAGAAATAACTTAAAAAAAAGTTCAGCATTTTTAATCATCAGTGAAATGCAGATTAAAACTACTTTAAGATTCCCTCTCACCCCAGTCAGCATGATTGAGTAAATGAATGGCAACATGTATTCACAAAGATGTGTGGGGAAAGAGGAAATCTTATTTACTGCTGGTTGCTATGTAAACACAGGTAGCAACAACAGAACTCAGTACGGAAGTTTGTCAAAATACTGAAAATGGGAGAATCAAATGACTTAGTTATGCCACTTTCCTATGTACCTGAGGATTTTAAGACAGTGTCCTGGAGCAATACTTGCCCCCCCCCCCCCCCATGTTTATAGCTGCACCATTATCATTGACTGCTGTGTGAAGCCAGCATGGAGGCCCATTAACAGACACCTGGACAAAGGAAATGTGGTTAATATATACAACGGATGGAATATATGTAATATGAAAGGAGAAATGGGGACTACCTGGGGAAAGAAGGGGGACTAGCTGTAAAGGAAGAGGGGTTATTCTGGACGACTTCTGCGCATGTCAATATGTAGGTTTGCCATTGTAGCAAATGCATCCCTCTACCACTCTGATGGAGACTAGTGAGTGACATAAGCTATGGATGCATGTATAGGAGTTTGTGCACTTTCTGCTTAACTTTGTTATGTACCTGAAGCTGCTCAGTTTTTAGAATAAGAAAAGTAAAGTCTCTCTCTCTCTTTCTCTCTCTCTCTCTCTCTCTCTCTCTCTCTCTCTCTCTCTCTATATATATATATATATATATATATATATATATATATATATATATTACTAAAGACTGTTGGGGAGTAATATGAATTCAAAGAAAGAATATAGCCTTATATAGGAGGATGCTATGATAAAACCTATTATTTTTGTATGGTACTCTAAAAATGAAAAAGAAAAAAAACAATTCAAGCCCAGGCAACAAAACATGGAAGGAAACGTAGGCAGAAGTGGCACTGTACATTAGGGAAGTGGGTGTACAGTCTGTTGTGAGCAACAGAGATGAGAATGTGGGCTAGAGCTAGAACACCTGGCCTGACTCAGATCACATTTGTTCTGTCTTCTGTAACACAGCTATCTATGAGTTTGTCTTAGTTATTTTCTATTGCTGTGATAAGACACCATGACCATGGCAACTTATAGAAGAGTTTATTTGAAGCTTACAGTTTCAGAAGGTCCATGATCCTCATGGCAGTGAGCATGGAACAGACAGGCAGATGTGGTGCTGGAACAGTAGCTGAGAGCAACATCTTGAGACACAATCTAGAGGCAGAGATAAGTGTGTGTGTGTGTGTGTGTGTGTGTGTGTGTGTGTGTGTGTGTGTGTACGACGACACTGGAAATGGCATGAGTCTTTTCAAACCTCAAAGCCCACCCTTAGTTACACACCTCATTTAACAAGGCCACACCTCCCGATCCTTCCCAAACAGTTCCACCAACTGGGGGCCAGGTATTCAGATGTAAGAACCTTTAGGGACCATTTTCATTCAAACCTCCACAGTTTGCCATGCTGAACACATCTGTTCAGTAATTTCTAGTCCTATGTACATAAACAGCACAGTGTCTTCATCAGCACAACATGAAACAGAAATATTTCCAAAAAGCATGATTGAGGTGGATTCCATAAAGGTAAACACTGTACCTTATAGTCTCTCAGTTATACATTCTATTTTTGTAACTGGGGTACTGGGAGTTGTGGATGACACAGTGGATACTCTGAGATGATGTGATCTTGTTGTTGATTCAGAACAACCCATGGATCAGGTTCTCCTCACAATCAGCTCCAGATTCTATGTATCTGGGTCTAACTACACTTCAGTTTAACCTTAGGTTCTCTTCTGAGTGGGAGACAGGTGACTTGTTAGCTATGAAGGATGCAGAGACTTCTGTCCAGTGCCCTCTGAGCCTTTTCACATCTCTCCAACAAATACATGAATATTTATCTAAACCAGGCAGGGTGAGAAAGGGGAGAAGATAAATGAAATAAAAGAAAACTTTAAAATGTCATCTAATGTATTTTAATATTTAGAAAGCATTGTACTTTTATTTTTCAAATATAAATTTGTTAAAAATCTCCAGTTCCCTTTTATCTATGAATTCTTCCCTTATTGTGCCCCCTTGCATACTCAGACAAGTGTCTCTGGTGAGCTGTCCTTTGCCTCAGCACTGAAGTGGGTACATGTTTAGAGACTCAGTCCTTCTCCAGGAGCTACCGCCTCAGAATCTGCATTTTCATTTCATTTCATGTGTAACAGTTGAGAAGTGTCACTCTAACTCAGTGTGACTCTCTCCTGTGAGAAATGTGTACCACATCAGGACAGTACATGAAATTCATACTGTATTCATGTTGTTTTGTATATCATGAAGTATAATATTCAGATGGGTTTGTTAGGGCATATGCCATTGTCTTCCCTTGAAGATGGGTAATGTATAAGATATTATATAAAAATATCTCATTCGCTATCCTACTACTCTTTCATCTTTCTTAAAATTAAAAATTCTGTTTCTAACCACATATTATTTATATATTGATATTGAGCTCTCGATTATACTACTTAACTAAATTAACATATACTGTTCATTTATTTTTATTTCAGGGACTGCTCTCCTTCAGGGATGTGGCCATTGATTTCTCTGCAGAGGAGTGTGAATGCCTGGACCTTGCTCAGTGGAATCTGTACAGGGATGTGATGCTGGAGAATTACAGCAACCTTGTGTTCCTGGGTGAGGATCACTTCCATAGTGAATTCTTAATTCTCTTTAAACGTGTAACTTCCTCTATTGGTAGAATATCTCATGGGAACTTATGCTTTCCAACAATGAGCTTCAGATTTTTGCATTATAACAATTATTCCACAATTTTACACATGCATGTACATGTGTAATGTACATTGTAATGTACACATGCATGTACATGTGCATTTCCACATGTATATTGGCCATGCCCACCTTTGTCCTCTGACCCTTTCCGCAGACCCCTGTTTTCACCCCATGAAATCTTGTCCTACTTCCATGTATTTTTCCCTCTGGCCCACTGCATTTGGTTAAAGTTGGCAGCATGAGTGTGAGTAAGGGGTTATTTACTTAAGCATGGCTAGCTTTTAGCTAGTTCTACAGTACCAGGCATGAGTGATTCCTTACACGTAATAGTCATGCCACATCTATGTCAGTGGACACATCTTTCCCAGTAGGTTGGTATTTTGTGGGTGGATTGTTTTTTGGTTGGGACATCTGCTCCCCAATAATGACATGGAGACTTATTATTATTTATGAAAGCTCAGCAGATAACTTAGGCTTTTTTCTAACTAGCTCCTATAACTTAAATTAACCCATTTCTAGTAACTTACTTTCGGCCTCATGCTTTTATTGCCTTATCTCCATATTACCCGTCCTCCTTGCTCTGCATCTCCTGGCGTTTCTGCCTTTCTTCTTCTTCCCAGAGATCTCTCTGTCCCAGAAATCCCGCCTAACCTCTTCCTGCCTATCTAATGGCCATTCAGCTCTTTATTAAACCAATCAGAGTGACACATCTTCACACTGTATAAAGGAATATTCCACAACAGTATTATAGTTTTCAGAGTTCACAGATGCTGACTTTTCTATCCAAGAAGACTTCACATTACCTCCGACTCTGTGAAATCTGGCTGGCCCAAAGAAAGGCTCCAGCTCTGTTAAAACTCGATGTATCTATGTCCTGCAACTGGAGTATGTGATGTCTTCAGTGATTGGGTCCTATGGTCTAGTCTGTCAGGCAACCAAGAGGAATGGACAAGTTTGCAGTGCTTTGGTGGTCTCTGGCACACCCTGAGCTAAAATTCATAAGGAGGTATTCTACCCGTGTGATGGATGGCACTTAAAAAACAACAACAACAACAACAAAAACCCTATGTCTTTTGAGCAATAGTATCTATCCACCCATGCAGGGTACATTCCTTTAAACCTTTAAATTATAATTTAAATTAATTTACAGAGTAATAATATTCTGTGTGGCTTTTTTAAATCCTTACTCTTAGCTAATCCTCTCCTCCAGATACTGGACATCCCCACCTGCACATCCATGTCCACTTCAATCTCTCCACCCCCAGTAATGCCTAACTCTACTTTCATACCATTTATACTATCCCACTATCTTCTGTTCAGACAGTCCCTCTTCAGTGGCCCTTCTCTACCTTCCAGTCTGCTATAGGTACTCCACAGGAAACACAGAAACCTGAAATTCAAAGCTAAGGTCCACACATGAGAGGGAATGTTTGACATTTGTCTTTATGACTCTCATTTACCTCACTTATCCATTGCACAGTTTCATGTTTCTTTGTACCTGAATACAATTCTGTTGTGTGTGTATAGAACACATTTTCACCCTTCACTCGTCATTCTTTGGATATGTAAGTGGATTTAATTTCCTAGCTGTTGTGAATGGAGCTGCAATGACCATGGATATGCAAGTATCTCTGTGGTAAGAGATGGAATCTTTTGAGTATATGTCCAAGAGTGATGTAGCTGGGTCATGTGGTAGTTAGGAAGTTTTACTTTCAGCTTTTTGAGAATCCTCTGCTTTGATTTCCATAATGGCTGCACTGCACCAGTTTATACTCCCACCATAATTTAAAGTGTGTGTGTTTTTTATACATACTTGCCAAAATTTGTCATCATTTGTTTTCTTAATGATAGCCTTCTCAATTCAGGTGAGATGGAATCTCAAAGTAGTTTTAATCTTCATTTTGCTGATGGCTAAAGATGACAGTGACTTGTAAAAGTATCAGCTGTGGGTTTGTCATTTTTGAGATCACTGTTCAGCTTCAGAGTCCATTATTTGATTGGATTGTTTGTTTTCCTGATGTTTGCTTCATTGAAGTTTGTTATTCTCGATATTTCCTGCCACGTGTATAGCTTCTGGATACTTTGGTCAGTTATAAGTCTCTACATCAGCTATTACCAGCTGCAAGCCACAGCTGCATTGAGAACAGCAGAAATCTATGTATAAATACAAATATTTAGAAGTCAGTTTGACATTATTGTGCATATTGTAAAATGTCATTACAATATTAAGTCTACTAATCCATAAGCATAGGAGTTTTTCCATCCTCCAGTATTCAATTTCTTTTTATTTTTTTCCTTTGGTTTCTATTCTTTAGTGATTTAAACTTTTCATTGTGGAAGTCTTTTATTCCCTGGGTTAGGTTTATTCCAATGTATCCTCTTTTCTTTTTTTGGGGGGGGGGATCGGGGATAGGTTTGGTGAGTAATTTCTTCCTCCATATGTTTGTTTTTGCTGTATAGGAAGACACTGATTTTGGTTGATATTTGCATCCTGCCATTTTGCTGAAAGTGTTTTTCAGCTCTGCTTGTATTCTCATGGAGTCCTTTGGGTCTTTCATATAGAGAGTCCAATTATCTGCAAATGGATGTACTTTTTTTTAATCTGCAAATGGGATAGTTATATAATTTCTGTCTTTGAGTCTGTTTAATGCAATAAATTTATGTATGTTGAACTGTCCCTGCATATGAGGGATGAAGTTCGGATGATGATGATGTTGATGATGATGATGATTATGATGTGGTTTTGCAAGTATTGAGAAATTTTACATCTATGTTCATCAGAGATAGTGGGCTATCATTTTCTCTTCCTATTCTTTTCTCTTCTTTTATTTGTTGTGCTTTTGTCTGGTTTTGATATCAGGATAGTATGTACTAACAAAATTAAGGCAATGTAAGATAAATAATTTAAGCATATGTACAACAGACAATGAAATTGAAGTAGTAATTGTGGTGACATTTTGTGTATGATCTAATAAATAAAGCTTGCCTAAAGATCAGAGAGCAAAGCCAGCCACTAGTTAGCCACAGAGGTCAGGCAGTGGTGGCACACACCTTTAATCCCAGCACTCAGGAGGCAGAGGCAGACAGATCTCTGTGAGTTCAATGTCATCCTGAGCTACACAAGATTAATCCAGTCTAAAAGAGAAATAGAGCCAGGCAATTATGGCACACACCTTTGATCCCAGTACTTGGGAGATGGAGACAGGAAGTGATATGGCTAGGTGGAGAGAGGAATGTAAGGCGGGAGGAGACAGGAGCAGAGGCTCTTTCAGGCTGAGGATTTGGTAGAGTTAAGAACTCTAGTGGCTGGCTGCTCTGCTTCTCTGATCTTTCAGCATTTATCCCCATATCTGGCTCTGGGTTTTTATTAAGACCAATTAGGATTTGAGCTACAACTAATTAAAAAATAAATAAAACAAAAAACTCCCAACTTCAAAGAGCCCACATTCAAATGGATTTACTTCAGATTTCTACCAAACTTTTAAGGGAGAACTAAGAGTCATATTTCTCATTATTCCATAAACTAGAGTAGGAAGCCTTCAAACTCCATTCACAAAGTCAGATTCCTGCTCTTAAGGAAAACTTAAGGGAGTTGTAGGTGTAGCTGATGAAGTTAATTACAGTTCTTGTGTTTCCAACCTTGTTGTTTTGGTAGTGTGACTCCTTCCTTCTATTTGGAATTTTATAAATTGAGAGACATGAAATATGACACATATATCTTAAAGTAAAATATTTTACCCAGCAGCTTAAAAATTTTTTCTTGAGGTAAAGCTCGAAGTATTGAATATATCTATCAGGAAACATTTAAAGAAATTATTTTCTGCCATCTGTTATTCTATTTCCTCTTTTCTTATAAATATAATAGTGATATATAAATGTCAGTTCTAGAGAACAACATACAATCCTCACATTTATCTTTCCTCCTAACAGGTCTAGCTTTTTCTAAGCCATATTTGGTGACATTTCTCGAGCAAAGAAAAGAGCCGTGGAATGTGAAGGGACCAGCACCAGCTGCTGTATACCCAGGTATGTGGGATTGCATAGATCAGAACACACAAATGAAAGGTCCAGAGAAGCCACAGAAAGGCAGGTATCAAAAGCCGGATGGACTAGAGATTCTGTTTCAGGGAAAGTGGTGATTCAGAATGTTCCACTTGTTACCCCTCGAAGTAGGATATTTTCTGACAGATGTTTGTCATACTTTTATTTCCTCAAACCTGTCCTTCCTCTCTAGTGATGTCTGCATGCATCTACAGTGACTTTAGTCTGGCCTTCTGCAGGTGAGGGTCTAGATCACTATAGACTTGCCATTGCTTTCCGTGCCTCAGAAACTTGTATACAGTTCTAAGACTTATATGTCAAGCCTTTATAGCACAGTGTCACCACAAATAATTTCTCTAATTACATTTGCATGCTCAGTATTTAAAGTTGTTCCATCAGACTTCTTTATAAATTATTATAGTGTATTTCTGTGAATTTTTTAGCCATAAACTGATTGTCAATGATTTATAATTTATGATACATTGTTTTTGTGGTACATGATAGCAAAACAGTTACACACAGATAAATCTTGCAGAATATTTATACACTGTGTGAAGATGTATTGCTGTGATTGGTATAATAAAGAGCTGAATGGCCAATAGCTAGGCAGGAGGTGTAGACAGGACTTCCATGGACAGAGAAGACTCTGGGAACAAGAAAGGCAGAGATGCCAGGAGACACAGAGCAAGAAAGATGTGCAGGAGGAGGTAACACTTATGAGCCACATAGCAGAATGTAGATTACTATAAATGGGTTAATTTAAGTTATAAGAACTAGTTAGAAACAAGCCTAATCTATAGACCAAGCTTTCATAATTAATAAGAATTCTCTGTGACATTATTTGAAAGCTGGCAGGACAGAGAAAGACTCATTACATAAAAGGAGGAGATGTTGTGGGATATTTTGATCATATTCTGATGTTCTCAAGACTGCCAGTACAGTTTGCTTTGAATAAGAGGGCAGAGATAGCTGTTAGCAGACAAAATTAGCCATAGAGGTTTTAGAGGACTGAGAGCAGATAGAGAGACAGATGCAGGAAGCAGTAGGGCAGGGCTTAGAGAGCATCTCTGCCCTTTTGGGGTCAAGGGAGGAGAGAGAGAGAGAGAGAGAGAGAGAGAGAGAGAGAGAGAGAGAGAGAGAGAGAGAGAGAGACAGAGACAGAGACACAGAGAGAGACAGAGAGACAGGGGGTAGGTGGGCAGGTATGTAGGTCATCGCTGGTCGCTGCTCTGCTGTCTCTCTGATCATTCAGGTTCTTACCCTGATATCTGACTCCTGAGTTTTTATTGATAAAGAATAGTTAGATAAGCACTTTCAGGTAGACAAGTATTTTTAGTAGCCTACCAATATTCTTTCAGAATTTTTCTGAACTTGCAATTGTATTTTCTGTGTTTTATTTTTGTATAGGCTCCCTCATATCTGTTGCTAATCTTCTTCGATATAGCTTACATTATGATTGGATGACAGTTTTTAGCAGTGGCTCTTTAGGGTAATGTAAGATATTAAAGTGTCTACAAGTCATGTGCCTAGTTCCAAATAAAGTTGATGTTCTTTTTTTTCATGTATTAAATACTAGTTCTATATTTTCATGCTATGTGTATTTATTTCGTCATTGGTTACTTAATAGTTGTTTTATCTTGCTAAATGAATATTTCTAGAAGTTACTAAAATTTCATAAACAATTGATAAATATGTTGCCTCTCCTGAAACTCTGTATTTAAAGGTAAACTTGAACATCTTAAAAATCATTTAATAGCCTTTATTTTAACTGAGATCAAAAAATATATAACATGAAATTTACTGTCTTAAATATTTGGGGCATTGTTCAATACATTCAAATCATTATGTCACAAACCTTTCAGAAATAGTAAAGCTTTTGGAACAAAAAACATAGGAAAATAATTGTGTAATTTTTTTGTCCATTCCATCTAGTTCACCATTTAAATAGGTATTCTATGATATTTTCTATTTTAGAATTTTCATGTATTTCTAATCAGATAATATCTATCTTATGTAATGGGCATATTTCATTTTGCATACTGCCCTTAAGAGTTTTCCTTATCATAAATATTTCATTATTGCTTACCTTAAATGTGTGTGTGTGTGTGTGTGTGTGTGTGTGTGTGTCTACTAAGGACTTCTGATTCATATGAAGGACAGAAGACAACGTGCAGGATTCAGTTCATTCCTTCCACTACGTAGGTCCCTGGAAATCAGGTACCTTTATCCACAGAGCCATTTCATTGAGTACATTTAAAATTTTGAATATGTTCCATTGTTTTTCAGTGGAAGTTTGTGTTGTTTCACTTACTATATTTTTTGAATAATGCTATAGTAAATACAGTTATGGAGTCATGTCTATTTTCCCATTAATACGAGAATAAATTGCACTTAGAACTATATCTATGGATATAAGGATCCATATGAAAGATAAGCTTTATAATTATAACTATGTCATTAATCTTTTACTAATACTTCCACCTTTACTCAACAGAAATAAAACCTTATAAATTTAAAGAATGTGGCAAGACCTTTCCTTGGAATTCACTTCTTATTCAACACCATAAAGCTCACCCTGGAGAAAAACTTTACAAATGTGGTGAATGTGGCAAGGCCTTTAATGTTCGCTCAACACTTTATAAACACCATAGAATTCATACTGGAGAGAAACCCTACAAATGCAAAGAATGTGGCAAAGGTTTTACATGCTCTTCAAGCCTTAACCAACACCACAGAATTCATACTGGAGAGAAACCCTACAAATGTCAGTGTGGCAAAGCCTTTAATAATTCTTCAGCTCTCACTCAGCACCAAAGAATTCATACTGGAGAAAGACCATACAAGTGTGAAGAATGTGGCAAAGCCTTTAATAATTGCTCAGCCCGTACACGACACCAAAGAATTCACACTGGAGAGAGACCCTACAGATGTGCAGCTTGTGGCAAGACCTTCAATTTTCCCACATCACTTTCTCAACATCAGAGAATTCATACTGGAGAGAAACCCTACAAATGTGAAGAATGCGGCAAAGCCTTTAACTGTTCTTCACATCTTAAACAGCACCGAATTATTCATACTGGAAAGAAACCCTACAAATGTAAAGAATGTGACAAAGCTTTTAACTGTTCTTCAAGTCTTAACCAACACCGTAGAATTCACACTGGTGAGAAACGCTACATATGTGAGGAATGCGGCAAAGCCTTTAATAATTGTTCAGCTCTTACTCAACACCAAAGAATCCATAGTGGAGAGAAACCCTTCAAGTGTGAAGAATGTGGCAAAGCCTTTTATAATTGCTCGGCCCTCTCTCGACACCACAAGATTCATACTGGAGAAAAACCCTTCAAATGTGCAGATTGTGGCAAAGCTTTTATTTTTCGCTCATCACTTTCTCAGCACCAGAGAATTCACACTGGAGAGAAACCCTACAAATGCAAAGAATGTGGGAAAGCCTTTAACTGTTCTTCACACCTTAACCAACATGGAAGAATTCACAGTGGAGAGAAACCTTATAAATGTGAAGAGTGTGGCCAGACGTTTATCTGTTCATCATACCTACATAAGCATCAGAAGATTCATACTATTGAGAAACTCTATGAATGCAAAGAATGTGGTAAAGCCTTTAGCTGTTCTTCATACCTTAAATATCACCAGAGATTTCATACTGGGGGGAAATCTTACACATGCAAAGAATGTGACAAAACCTTTAGGTCCTCTTCATACCTTAGGAATCATCAGAGATTTCATACTGGAGAGAAACCCTACACATGCAAAGACTGTGGCAAAGCCTTTGTTAATTCTTCAAGCCTTCTTGTACACCAAAGAATTCATACTGGAGAGAAACCATACAAGTGCAAAGAATGTGGCAAGGCCTTTCGGTGTTCTTCTTATTTTAAGTATCATCAGAGACTTCATACTGGAGAGAAACCCTATACATGCAAAGACTGTGGCAAAGCCTTTGCTAAATCTTCATGTCTTATTCTACACCAAAGAATTCACACCGGGGAAAAACCCTACAAATGTGCAGAGTGTGGCCAGGCCTTTATCTGTTCCTCATACCTGAGGAAGCATCAGAGAATCCATACTGGTGAGAAACCTTATACATGTGAAGAATGTGGCAAAGCTTTTAGTATTTACTCAACCTTCATTCAACACCAGAGAATTCATACTGGAGAAAAACCTTACAAATGCAAGGAATGTGACAAAGCATTTAATAATCATTCAGCCCTTATAAAGCATCAAAGAATTCATACAGGAGAGAAGCCCTACACATGTAAAGAATGTAATAAAGCCTTTAATAATAGCTCAAGCCTTATTCGACATCAACGAATTCATACTGGAATTGAAACCCTAGAAGTTCAAGGAATGTGGCAAGGCCTTTAATAATAGTTCAACTCTTAGCCCCCAAACTCACAGTAGTAGGAAAGTAAAATGGAAAAAAGGTTACAAATAAGTGTTTTATACATATTCAAGTGTAAACATTCACGCATGAAAGAAACCCTACAAGTTCGAATAGTGTTGCAAGTCTGTTAGCTCTTCTTATCTTGATAGCAGAGGATTTGTATTGGGGAGCCCTAAAAATATATCAGGGATTTTAATGAATGTTCACTCCTCATCAGTGAATTCATGCTTCATGGAAATCTTAGCACTTACTGACTTTCGAATGACCTCTGTCCAATATGTGTGAGCAAAGTAGTTATGCCAGAACAAGTGAGGTAAACATAAGGAGTGTAGTGAAGCTCATACCTCAGATCTTGCTGGATATGAGAATTACTGTACATGGTAAATCCTATGAATATATAGAATAATGTAAAAATAAAGTGAATACTGCTTATAAATTATGGGACATTATTTGATGTGATAGAAATAAATCATCACAGATGTCAGAATCATGCACACAGCTCAGTAAGGATATGAACTTGCTAATGAAACCATATTTACTACGTAGCCTCATGTTTGAAAACAGAAGTTAGCACAACTCTCAAACTGGGTTAAAAGAACAAGACTAGTTCCTGATTGATTTCAGTCTAGTTCTTCCCACAGAAAACATATAGTAGGTATGAAATAGAGGTTGTCTGTGAAGCTTACTTCTTTAAATAAACAAATTTGAATGGTTTGTAATGTAGTGTCTCTGTTTTTATTGTGTAATATATTCTGTCACAGCCAATAACATATTCCACATTACTAAGGGAGGTGAGTGACAGGATTCAGTTGTATATTGCTGAGAATTATTTGAATAACTGGTCACTGTATCCCAGATGCCAATGTCTTTCTAATGATTTAGAGGAGATTAGACCATATGTTACATATTGGTTCATCCCCTTCTTGTGGTAATTAGGAAGGAAGGAGTTTTTAGAGGATAATTTTGTTCTAGTTTTCTGAATCTTGATTTATATTACTGTTTATCAAATTTTACTATATATAAGTGCCACCCTTTTGACCTACAAAATCCCCTTAAAGTTTTGTTATTTATTACATGAAATATCCTACTCTTAAAACCAAATAAACTTTAGGAATTAGGAGAATGGGAGCACCATGTATATATATGTCCATGCTTTTACATAACTGTGGCTGGCCTGGCTGGTGGGAATAGATATAGTCTAAAAGAAGCACTTGTTCTCCTCTCTTGTCTTTCAAGAAGTTAGAATTTCTCTAAGATCCTGCTGGGAGGAGAAAAGCCCTGGGGCACGCGCAGGAGGCACTTACCTTTTTGAGACTTAGTTTGTCTGATAGCTTTGCTGGAAAGACTAACCTTGCAGGAGAGATGGGCTGTGCCTGTGCTGGGCAGGGGACCAGTCTTGGCTGGACTGCTTAGATATGTGTCCCTTTTGTCTTCGAGTTCAACCCAGCCATTGCGTTAGGATTCAGAAGATGACTAGCAAATTAATGGATCTCTTTTTCCCTTTTGTAATGTGGCTACATGGAATAAATCTTTGTGGGTTTCTTTTTCTACTTATTCGGCTTATCATTGATGGTTGACAGAACCTGGGTAGTTGAGACGCAGGCTGTAAGAAGAAAGGGGACTTATTGAAATAAAAGTTAATTCCTTGTTTGTTTGGAAACTAGATAGTACAGTACTTCAGCACTCTATGCAATAAAAGGAGAGAGAGTGGCCATTCTCATCTTATATAAGGTCCTTGAGGAAGAGGTGACATCTCTTTACTATTGATTGTGATGTTAGCTGCAGTTTTCTAAATATGTAAGTGATCATAAAACATTGGAAAATTTTCTTCTCTCTTTATTTTCTGATAGCATTGGTCAAGAAAGTGTGCTAAACGTTGTCAGTGCTTTTTTTCACTTATTTGCACAGTCATTTGGTTTTCACCTTAATTCTACTAATGCCGTGAGTTAACTTAAATTAACCCTTCATGGTAGAGAACCCCCATCCTGCTGTGTGATATGTTTGAAAGATTCTTGCATTTGGTCTGCTAGCGTAGTGTTTTCTTAAAGATGCTTGTGCCTGTGTTCATGAGGGGGTAACTGTTTAAAGTTGTGCCAATCATTTTCATTCATTTAAAAAAGAAATGGCCAAATACAGTTTGAGGTCTATTAAATAAATAAATCAAACATAATGAGGATGCTGGTAGTTATCTAGGGTATTGCCAAGTTCATTGCTTGGAATGGGCAAAGAACTGAACATCCGGTAAGGAAAGAAGATCCTGCCGTAGACACAGCAACAGTAACAGCGCTGTTGCGGGGCAGGGGAGGAGCCCAATAAACAGACTCTGGCTTGGGTATTTTATGGGGACCTTGGGTCCTTCCCTCTCTCCTGTAGGTCCTGTTTAGATGCCTACTGTCCTGTGTTCCTACCATTTTTCCTCAAAATGTCTTCTGGGAACAAGAAGCTATCATCTCAGGGAGCTGGCTTTCATTTTCTTTTACTACCTACATTCTGCTCACTCTTCTTCAGGTATATTTTTGTCAATATATTCAACTTGGGTTGACATGTTTCAACTTAACCAAATTGGTTTAAAAAAATCAAGAAGACAACAATGGAGTCATATCATAAAGAAAAAGATCTAATTTAATCACTATAAAACCACCTAGATTTATGTTCCCCAGGATTTTTCTCCCTCAGATGACTCTGTATCTCTCCAGGATCTAAGAACTTGTGTTGGGTTTTTAATTGTAGGGGCATGGAGTTCCAAAGAGTGAAGACACAAGAAAGAGGATATGCTAAGAACACCCAAGAGCCAAGGCCTTGCTGCCACTGGAGGACAGGTACCTGCTGAACTTCCAGAAAGCCATTAGTCAAAGCTTTACCCGGAAGACAGCCTATTTGTAGGATGTGTCCTTAAGAAGAAAATCTGTGCTGCCCAAGAAAACAAGTTTAGGTAAGGAAGCCCCTTGCAAGAACTCCTGACACATCTCTGCATGTACCGTTCATTATATTGTTTGGTATTGCTGTCATCTTATAAATGTGAATAAGCCATGCATCATGACACTTATTTTACAAGGTACTCAGAAAAGGAGATCACACTTTATAGACTTCCTGGCTCTTGTGGTTTATTGAGTCATTCTGTTTACAGTGATGTATGTTTATAATAACAACCCTAATAATTTAAAATTTCACTGTAGACTTCAGTTTTCAACTTAGGCAGGTGAAAGAGAATTAATGTTACTATAAGAAGTTCCAAGAGAATTAATGTTACTATAAGAAGCTCCTGAGACAATCAATTAATAAAAAAAGTGGGCAGATAGCTGGCAGTTTCAGAATTTCCAGTTTATGTTCAGCTGGTCCCATTGCCTTATAGCTTGTGGGGAGGGACCCTACTATGGTGGGAATGGATATCATTGAAACTACTTACCACATGGCCATGGAGGAGAGAGGGTTCAATTTACCTATATGCTTTAAGGATATAGTCTCCAAAACCTAGAGCTCCCTCTGTGTCCATTTAAGGTTTTCATAATCTCACAATATTGCCATGGTGAAGCCTAGGCATTTATTACACAGATGTTTGCTGGTACTGTGCTCCAAGGTATAGAAATCACATAATAATAAGCGGAAAGAACCTGGGCAAAATATAAATCAGTGCCTTCCTATAATTATTAGGAGACTGAACACATGGGGCAAACCACGTTGAACTCAGAGGAAGACATTTTCAGGGTCTGATAGGAGCTGAGCACTTGCCTCCTGGGAAGTTGCTGTCATATATCATACAAGTGGGGCTGAAGATTCAGCCACAACGTGTTTGATTATAATCTCCCTATCACTCTCCAACCCATTCACTCTGTCTGTTCTACTCTCCATTTCTTGAGTCCACATCTAAGTGACATCATGTAGTATTTTATCTTTTTTTGTGTCGACACGAAAGGGGGGGCATGGTTTTCATTCTCTAGGTTCATCCATAAGTTTTATGACTTTTCCTGAAGAAAATGCAAACAAATATCTATTCACCACAGAAAGGGCACTAATATAAGGCCAAAGAAAAGATTCCATCAAAGCCACGCGTGTTGAGTCAGTGGATTTGTGGGCCTACTTGTAGAAGCATGGCTGACTTGAAGGCAGCCACATCACTGAGAAGCCCACCCTAGCATGGGTCACAAAACCCTGGTACTCTCTGCCCAGCTTGCTGGCAACCTCCTCCACAGAGATTTCGGTCACCCAACAACTGTTCAGTGTTTTTGTTACCATGGGGCCTCTGTGAAATTCATAACTTTAGGAGCTTTCCGAGTCACCTGAGCTTCACTTCCTAAGAACTGTGAACCTCCGCCTGCTCTCCAGGAGAGAGTGTTTCACTTCAGTTCAGATGAAATAGTGACACAACACAAGGTAACAGTGTGTTCCCAAATCCCTCTGTCTGTCTGTCTGTCTGTCTGCCTATCTCTCTGTCTGTCTGTCTGTCTGTCTGTCTGTCTGCCTATCTATCTATCTATCTATCTATCTATCTATCTATCTATCTATCTACCTATTTATTTTGTCTTTCAAAACAAAATTTCTCTTTGTAACAGTCCTGCCACTCACTTTGTAGCCCAGGCTGGCCTCAAACTCAGAGAGAGCCACTTGTCTCTGCCTCCCAAGTGCTGGGCTTAATGGCATGTACTACCACCACCAGGCTTCCGTTCTTTTAAAGACAGAATAATATTCTATTGCGCATGCACATGTACACACACACACACCATTTACTTTATCCATTAAATTACAGATGAACACTCAGGTTATTTCTATCTGTTGGTTCTAATGAAAATGGAAATGTAGACATCCTTTTGAGACAATGATCTTATTTATTTCTTCAGGTGTAAAGCCAGGATAGGTTTGCTGGCTTGTATGGCAGTCCTTTGTTACTTTTATTGTGAGACCCTACTGTGGTGATATTGTGTCCTCCAATATATTGTGCACCCTAATAAACTTATCTGGGATCAGAGAACAGAACAGCCACTAGATGGACATAGAGGCCAGAAAATGGTGGCACACACACCTTTAATCCTAGCATTCTGGAGGCAGAGATCCATGCGGATCTCTTTGAGTTCAAAGCCACACTGGAAACAGCCAAGCATGGTGACACACACTTTAATCCCAGGAAGTGATGGCAGGAAGCAGAAAGGTATATAAGGCGTGAGGATCAGGAAGTAGAGTCCTTGTTAAGCTTTTAGGCTTTTAGCAGCAGTTCAGTTGAGATCCATTCGGATGAGGACTCAGAGGCTTCCAGTTTGAGGAAACATGATTAGCTGAAGAATTGGTGAGGTGAGGTTGGCTGTGACTTGTTTTGTTTCTCTGATCTTTCAGCATTTACCCCAATACCTGGCTCCAAGTTTGTTTGTGGTGATATTGTGTTCCCCAAAATATTGTGCACCCTAATAAACTTATCTGGGGTCAGAGACAGAACAGCCACTAGATACAGAAGCTAGAAAATGGTGGCACTCACTGAGGCTTTTAATCCTAGCATTCCAGAGGCAGAAATCCATCTGGATCTCTGTGAGTTCAAGGCCACATTGGAAACAGCCAGGCATGGTGACACACGCCTTTAATCCCAGAAAGTGAGCCTTTAATCCCAGGAAGTGAGGGCAGAAAGCAGAAAGGTATATAATGCGTGAAAACCAGGAACTAGGCTGGTTAATCATTCAGGCTTTCGAGAAGCAGTTCAGCTGAGATTCATTCGGATGAGGACTCAGAGGCTTCCAGTCTCATGAAACGGGATCAGCTGAGGAACTGGCAAGGTGAGGTAGCTGTGGCTTGTTCTGCTTCTTTGATCTTCCAGCATTCATCCCAATATGTGGCCTCAGGTTTGATTTTATTAATAAGTACCTTTAAGATTCATGCTACATTTGTTTTTATTAATAAGACCATTTAAGATTCGTGTTTTCGGCCGGGCGGTGGTGGCGCACGCCTTTAATCCCAGCACTCGGGAGGCAGAGGCAGGCGGATCTCTGCGAGTTCGAGGCCAGCCTGGTCTACAGCGCGAGAGGCGCAAAGCTACACAGAGAAACCCTGTCTCGAAAAACCAAAAAAAAAAAAAAAAAAAAAAAAAAAAGATTCGTGTTTTCCACAGTGCCATTCTAATCTACATTCCCACTGGCAATGTTTAAGTGTTCTCTTCATTCTTACAATTATTACACTTCAAATGTCTTTTATATCTTATTTTAACTTATGCATAGTTATATATTAACAAGGTATGGAGTGATGTTTAAATACTTGGGGACCTTGTATAATGAGGTTAGTTGGTTGTCCTTCACCTCAAACATTTATCATTTGCTTGTGTTGGAAATATTAAAAATATTTTCTACTAATTTTAAAATGATTTTAATCAATCTGTGGGAAGTATGCTATATTGGACAGAAATGAATGAAAATTCAATACACAAGAACCTTTAGGGTACAGCTAAAGCTTAGATGTGCATTTGTAACTTAAATTAAAAAATGATGTATCTCAATTCTGACTTCCATCTCAAGACAATTAGGAAAATGACAGAAAAAATTTCAAAAAAGTAAGGAAACGATGATAAGTAGATGATTGATGATAAGTAGATGATTAATGAAACCAAACAGAAAACAAAAAGGGACAGCTGTGAATCAAGACCTTGTTTATGTTGCCTGCTTCTCTGGAGCCAAGAGCAAGAGACAGCCTCTAAAAATGGCAAGTGCTGCCAGTCTCCACACAGCTGACGTTTAAACAGCATTCTCAGAGGGCCTCATGACCATTTCCAGACCTTGTGTTAGCTCAACACCAACATGCATCAGTTCTCACACACCTGAGTTTAACTTCCAGAGCCCCAAACACCATTTTCAGACTGCCGAGTGAGGTGAGACCAATGAAAAAAAATAACATTTAGAAATGAAACTCCTTTACACCGAAAAGCTGCTGTATGGCAAACAGCAGAGCCAAGAGACAACCTAGGAATGGGAGAAAGTATGTACAAACTACACATCTAAGAAGATGTTAATTTCCAGAACAAAGACTAATAACTCAGTAGCATGGGAGCAAAATACTTTAATAAAATTGGGCTGAGTAGATGTTTTTCACAAAATAAAAAATAAAGTTACCCAACAGCTATATGAAAAATGTTCAGAATCATTAACCATTAGGGAAATGCAAATGGAAGCCACAATGAGATATTATTTTACCCCAGTGAGAATAGCTATCAAAGAGAAAATAGATAGTAATTTACAGGTTAGATGTAGAGACGGGAAGCTTCGTATGGAAAGTAAATTATCATAAACACAGAGAATTGTATAGCTGTTTCTGAACAGAATCAAACACAGTCACCATATGATCTAGGTATTATAATGGATATCACCTAAAGAAATTTAAGTCAGCATATCACAGAGATACTTGTATTTACAGTTTATAATGCTGCACTACTCATTGTAGCCATGAATGTGGGGTCAGCCTAGATGCCCATCTACAGATGAACAGATTAAAAAATATGGTACATATACAGAATGGAATTCTGTTCAGTAGTTAAAAAATGAAACCATGACCTGTGCATGAAAACTCACTGTTAAGTTAAATAAACCGGACTCTGAAAGTACATATTTTTTCTCCTGAAGAATCTAGATTTTATATAAAATAAATCATATGAAATTATACTATGTATAATTATAATAATAATAGTAACATAAAACAATGTATATGAAACATTACAAGTATAAGGGAGACTAAAGAGAAAGATATAAAAAGAATAATGGGTAGGAAAAAACAAGCGCCACATATTTTTCCCATATGTACAGAGTCCAGATTTAAGGTGTCTCTAACCACATATGTGGACATTAATAGGAGAATATAAAATAAAGAGGACTGTTTGGGAGAACAAAGAAGAAATGCAAAGCAGGGCAAGACCAGAGTGGCGGTGGATATGAGCGGAATGCAATAGAGCATGCATATAAGAATATCAGA